AATGTAGTGCACAAATGCGAGAGCAATAGGAAACAAGGTCAGACAGAATAAAGGGTCACCTCATGTACCCTGGCCACGAAGGCCACTGTAAGTAAGGACGCTGGCCTTTACTCAGAGTAAAATGGGGAGCCCCTGGAAAGTTTTAAGCAGAGGACTTATATAATCTCACTTATGTTTTAAAAGGAATATTCTGGTTGCTGAGTTGACTATAGACTGCTTGTAAGGTTATAAATAAAGAGACCAATGAGGAGGCTAGGGTAGTAATCCAGGTGAGAAATAAAGGTAGCTTATACCAGTCTGACAGCAATGCAGATGGTAAAAAGTGTTTAGATTTTGAATGTATTTTGAAGGTAGAGCTAATAGGATTTCCTTATGGACTGGACATAGTGTATGAAAAATAACCACCAAGGTTTTTGGCCTGAGGAACTGGAAGGACAGTTGCCACTCCCTGAGATGGGAAAGGCTGCAGGAGGAGCAGTTTGAGATGTCTATTAGACATCCAAGTGGGGATGTTGAGTAGGTAGGCTAGATACACAAATCTGAGGGGGGAACAAAAGTTCAGGATTGGAAACATCAATTTGAAAGTCATCTGCATATAAACTATATTTAAAGCCAGGAATTAGATGAGATCACAACGGAATTAATACAGTCCAGAGTTTCTCAATCTTGGCACTAAAGCCATTTGGGGCCAGAATATTCTGTTGTGGGGGCTGTTCTGTGCGTTGTAGGATATTTAGCAGCATCCCTGGTCTCTAGTCATTAGATGTAGGTAGTGTATGTGTGTGCGCGTGCACACACACACACACATACAGAGTTATAACAACCAAAATCATCCCCAGACATTGCCAATGTCCCTTGGGGACAAATCACTCCCCTTCTTGGTTGAGAACCACTGATACAGATAAAGAAAAAGACAAAACAATCTAAGATTCTGTCACACCCTTTCATGGCCAGGTTACAGAGCATCATGTCACCACTTTCTTCTCAGCACCCAAAACCAACTTATCCCCTTATGCTTGTTGTGTTACCTCCAAATCTTAGTTCAATATCGTAATCCACTTTAACTATTTATACTTAGCTGCTGAGCACGGCTGAAGTCCCACATGCTTATTACATGTAGTGCCACACATATTTAGTCTTCATCCTTAGTTGAACCCTCCAAAATACTGTCATGTGTTCCTAGGCCATTCCCTCTCCCGTCCCGTACAGCAGCTATTCCAAACCTTTACCATTCACCTTAAGACTAATAATGTATCCTCATTATATGTTTATTACTTTGTTAGCCGACTTTCTCTCCAACCAAAGAATAAGTTCTCTGCTTCAGTGTTAGATCACACTAGACATTCACTCTATTTATGAATCCTCCCCTCCAGCATTTGTCAGTTTCTTATTTCACAGAGTAGTAAATTGAGACCATCAGGAACAAATTCTATCAATATTTCTGCCTGCACAGTTACAAAATTTAACCCTATCTGAGGACAGTGGTTCACTTGGTCTTTAGTTCTTGCTAATATAACTGATGAACTTCCTATCCAAATAGTAAAGGATCAGCTTTCTTCTTAATTGACTTTAAGTACCTGATATCAGTGCTTATACATTATAAAGGTCAGTGAGTATTTATTTCTTAAGGTTCTAACCTTAACACTCCTCTCTTCTCCTATATAGTCTCTCAGGACTAGCTCATTCATGCTCAAGCCTTCCATCTGTCCATTTAAGATAAAAACACCTCAATTCACATACCCAAGCAAAACTTTGTTTCTAAGTTCTAAACACTTTACTTCCAACAGTCTGGTGGCAGTTATCACCCCTCAAATTTCACAGAGGTACCCCAACATGTCCAAAACAAAACCTATCTTCTCCCTCTATATGTATTCATCTTCCTGTACTCAACCTTTCTTCATTCAACAAACAAGTCTGTACCAGGACCAATGATAAGCACTGAGAATTCAAAGACATGTTAACTGCTTAAAAGGAACTAATAGTCTAGGAAGCAAGAGACAGTGAGAATAATAATATAACCCAATATCTACTAAGATTAAGATATGCACAAGGTGTACAAAAGAGTAAAAATGGAGACGGGGAATTAGGGAAGGTAACTTGGAAGATTTAATACCTGACTTGAATCTTAAAAGAAAAATAGGAGTTAACCAGAGATAACCCTGCTCTAAAAAGAAAAATGGCATCAACAGGCTATTACAAGCAATTTAAAACATAAACTCCAAAGCAAGGAGTGGCAGCTGTAAACCAGATCATACAGCACTTTAAAGGCCATATTAACAAATTTATACTTCATCCTGAGTGCAATCGGGAACTTCAAAAGAGTTTCAAGGGGAATGATATGGTAAGGCTTCTGTGTCAGATATTTCTAGCAGTTGTGTGGCAAAATGAAAATCAGAGGCAGTTATAAGGCTAAACAGTCCAGGCAAAAGGAAAGCTTGTATAAAGTGAAGTGGTGGCGAGGTTAGAAAGAAGAGATACAACAAAGAAACAATTAGGAAGCTAAATGGGTGGGCCTTCATAATTAATTGGCTATCCAGAGGCCATGGTCAAGGAGTGAGGATGTGAGATGATTCCTGGCCAAATTTCAAGCTTGGCTGAAAAGATCACCCACAAATCAATAAAAGCAAATAAATCCAACAAAAAAACAGGCAATTCACAGAAAAATAAAAGGCCATTAAACACATTTAAAAAGCTCAATTTCAGTGGTAATCAGTTCAATGAAAATTATAACAAAGTGATATCATCCCTATCCCCACCTCCCAAAAAAATTCACAAAATTTTAAGATTGGTAACATTCAATAGGTACGAACATACCTATACACTAATAGTGGGTCATAGCTTGGAAAACCCTTTGGGGATGTAATTTAACAGTAGATACAACACTTAAACCATATACTCCCTTTAAACCAGCAATTTTACTTCTAAGAATGTAGCTATTCACACGTACACGAAAAACTACACAAGAATGTTCACTGTAGATGATTTAAACAAGAAATGGAGAGAACCTAAGTATCTATCCTTAGGGAGAGGTTAAATCAATTACAGTAATCCATACAACAGAAGAGTACAATACAACCTGAAATATATATGAAATGAAATCAAAGATTTCCAAAATATATATATTTGGGGGGGGGGAAATTAAATCATAGAATATATACAACATATTCCAAGTTATGTTTTTAAAAAATGAAACCCCACCTATGTTTGTGAATGCACAGAAAAAGGTCCGGAAGAACACAAATAAAACTTTTTGTGAGAGAAGAGTGGAACAGAGGAATGGATGGGATAAAGGGATACTCATTTTTACTCTAGCTAAGTGTATAGTTTGATTTCCCACACACACACAAACATGAACTACTTTTACAATTTTAATAATGAAAAACATAATGTGTATGACATGTGACTAGCTGATAAAACAATTTAATAACTAAAATAGTCAATGGCTTTTCTAAAACCACAGCCCAAGCTTGCAGGTGTTTAATAAAGACTGCTGCTAAACATCTCTTTTATTATTAGCTATTCTCACATATGCTTTACACATTGTCCAAAGGGCTTGCCTTTGCCTGTGTTTCTTGCTGGTAGGGCAAGCCCACTTTCAGCATTCATGCTACTCAAAGCTGTACTCAAAGAATTTTTCTTCGCAATGCAGGAATCATATTAATTGATGTGTCACATACTTATGTCTTTAATCCTCTTCAAAATTTTAAAAAACTACAGTCAATGTTTACCATTCCTGATATGATTAGCTGTAACAAAACTTAAGTGACTGAGAAAACAATTAGGACAGAGGGTGAGAAAGAAATATTTTGACCCATAATTTAACTAAAACTTGGCTTTTATTCATTGGTTCTTAACACAGTGTGCTCTTTCAACATTTTCTCAAGAGCATAAACTATTTTTGGAATTTTCCCTTTGTTATATAACAAGTTATTTCCTTCTAACTAATTCTTTCTGATGACTGTTTTTAACATTCTTTTACTTTTGAAATCCTATCTCTCCACGTAACTTTCAAGTGGTGTTTTTGTCCATCATCATTTTCTTCAATATCAAAGGTATGACTAACATAGTAAAGTGAGGGGAAGCTTCACTTCTGAAGGTAAATAAAAAATAGCACCGAGTATTTGCTTCCAGTACAGCACCACTTTCATATATAAGGCCAAGAAAAAGGGTACAAATTCATTTTGACTAGTGGAGGACTATAATTGAGCTTTCTTTATGACTTGCCATTATGGGCTGAATTGTGTCCTCCCACCAAACTTTACATGTTTAAGTCCTAAACCCCAGTTCCTCAGAATATGACTGCATTTGGAGGTAGGGTCTTTAAAGAGGTAATTAAGTTAAAATGAGGCCATTAGGGTGGACCCTCATCCAATGACTGGTATCCTCATAAAAGGAGGAAATCGGGACACAGACACCCAAATCATGAAAATACAGCCATCTACAAGCCAAGGAGAGGCCTCAAAGGAAACCAAGCTGCTGACACCTTGATCTCAAACTTCTAGCCTCTAGAGTGTTGAAAAAATAAATTCTGCTGTTTAAGCCACTGTTACGGACTGATTGGGTCCTCCCAAAATTCATAAATTGAAGCCTCAACCCCTAATGTGACTATATTTAAAGATAGGGACTTTATGGTAATAAAGGTTAACTGAGGTCATAAGGGTGTGGTCCTAATCCAATAGGACTGTACAAAGAGGCCATGTAAAAAGACAGCCATGTATAAGCCAAGGAGAGAGGCCTCAGCAGAAACCAACACTGAGGGCACTTTAATCTTGTACTGCTAGCCTCCAGAACTGTGAAAAAATAAATTTCTTTTGCTTAAGCCATCCAGTCTGTGGTACTTTATTATGGCAGCCCTAGCAGACTAATACATTTGCTAATCCAGTAACTTAAAAAGCATTTTTGCTTTTCCATGTCAAAGATGACAAAGTATTTAAGCATACCCATTAAAGCAATAAAACCACAGCCCAGTTGATGAAAGCTCTTTGTAACATCTTTCTTACCTTCTTAAAGAACGTTGCAGGTGCCGCTTCACATCCATTCAGTGTACGTGTAAGAAACATTGGCCAAGATGATGTATTCATCTGGTATCCTATTTTATAAAATAAATCAGATATCATGAAAAAGCCTTCCTTCGATGTAACAGCAAGTTGGTATTAAAAATAACTTTCAAGGGCTGGCCGAGTGGCTCAGTTGGTTAAGAGCTCGCTCAAGAGTGTGAGCTCTGGGCAACAGCGGTTCGAGTCCAGGCCCGAGCTGAGCTGCCGCTGAGCTGCCAACAGGTGGCAGGATGGCTCAGCTAAAAAAATAAAAATAAAAAAAATAAAAAATAAAAAACCAAACTTTCATTACCATTCGTCTCCAGAGAACGATTTTGTTATCGATGAATTCAAGAAATGGGCAAGAGGAGGAGCTGCACCCTCCAATCAGCACTACTGTACCCACTGTATAGCTTGGCAACAATGCTACAGTGGAGGTAGAAACTCTTATTTTAGAGAAGCCACTCTGCTAGTTTTACTGCTTTCTGGGGGCAATTTGTTTCATGCAACACTTGCTTGCCTTGATGCCAAAATTGGAGAGAAGCTGACATTCATCCCTGATGAATACACGCATTAAGACAGGGATGCACATGAATCACTGGCAACAGGTCCATCAATAGGATAAAACATGCAAAAAAGCTCAGATAGAAAGTCATCCTATAATAATCCTGTACCAAAACCTCCTAATCTAAATAGGGAAATAATTGTTCCTAAGAAAAAATGGGGGGAAGGATTTGTTACATACTCCCTTATAATAAATCAGTATTATTAGTGATATCTAATAAAGTTACCCACAGCATGGATTTTCTAGTGTTTAGAATATTGCATAAGAATCATCTGCTGGTCCTTATGCCTTTCTCTTAACGCCCATCTTACTCTATTACATCATGCACCATGATTTTTCTTAATTCTATAAATCCCTAAAGTCAAACAAGGATTAAAAGGCTAAAAATAGATGAATGTGCATATAAAAAATTCAAACACAAATAAAACTAATATATGATGTTAGAAAAGTCTGGGCAGTGGTTACCTTTGGGAAGGAGGAGGTTATGACTGGGGTATCAGCAAGAGTAGGGCCTTCTGGGGTGCTGATAATGTTCTAATTCTTGATTTGGGTGGTGGTTATACAGGTGTATTCATTTATAAGCTATACACTTATGATTCATACACTTTTCTTCTTGTACATTAAAGCTTTAAAAATATTTTACAAGTGCTGGCGAGGCTGTGGAGAAAAGGGAACCCTGCTGCACTGTTGGTGGGACTGCAGATTGGTGCAGCCATTA